TGTTTAGTCTCTCCTCTCTGTTGACTGGTTGTCTATTTGCCTTACTGATTTGCAGGAATATTTAAATGATTTATGGATATTAATCTTTTCCTTATCTACGCTATAATGTTCTTTCTCAGTCTCTTGTGTAACTACAGAGACTTAAAACTTTCATATAGCCAAATTTATTTTGCTTTATAGTTTTGCACCTTTCATTTCACTTAAGGTCTTCCTGCCAACTACATTACAAAAGTACTGTCTTAGCTCGAATTTCTACTTGGCATGGGAAGAAATAATAGAGCTTTTTCCTACCATCAGCCAGCCAGCCAATTGTTCCACCATGATTTACTAAAATTTACTTAGTGCTACCTGTAAAATGAATAAATCCTCAAAAGTTTCTACTCTGTTTGCAACATCCTATCATCAAAACAAGAGGAAATTCCCATTTCCCTCCTTAACGTTTTAGTTATTCTCCTGCATTTTCTTTTTAGATTACCTTTCAAACACATTACCATGTTTTCCTTTAGGGTAATTTGGGGCAGAATCAACAACTTTCTGATAAGAAGTCATCACATCTAGGAAAATTTTCTAAAATTAGTCATATCACGGGTCTTGAATATTTCCTGTTAGCGGTATTTACTACTGAAGAATATTACACATACTTTAACGTCGCCTTGCCAATATTTTGCTCAAGTCTTTGATTTGTTGATGATACAACTGCCACCTCAAATATCCAGGAGACTCAAGCAGTAAACAACTGTAACTAGCTAGCAAGTTCAGCAAATGGATAATTTATATCACCCAGGACTTTATTTTGTTGGTTGTCTTTGGCTTGGTTCTGATTGCTTTAACAGCATTTAATTTCATGAGGCACACTCAGCCCAGCAGACTTCATAAACTCAGCACTGGCCTAGGAGCTGACATCCCAGTAGCAAAGAGTACATGTAAGTACCCAGATCTTGGTTTTTAACATCTCTTTCCTCAAAAGGGGACCAGAGATGTGGCAGAAATGACTGAGTACAGGGATGAGGCAGCAGAAGTACAAGATAATACTGAAGTACTCTCCTGTTCCAGGAAGTAAAGAAGTGCTCAGAGAAGGAAGCATAGAGGTGGAAGCAACATGGGAGCCAGCCTGACAGGGCTCCCACTGGGACAATTTGCCTATCATTATAATAATAAAGGCTAGCTGGCCAGGGGAGGTGGTTGACACCTATAATCCTAGCACTCAGTGAGGCTAACATGGAAGGATCCCTTGAGGCCAGGACTTCCAGAGCAGCCTGGGCAATAGCAAGACCCCATCTCTACTAAAAAGAGAAACATTAGCCAGGCGTAGTGGTGTGTGCCTGTAGTACCAGTTACTCAGAGGCTGAAGCTACAGGATGATCACCTGAGCCCAGGAGTTTAAGGTTGCAGTGAGCTATGATAACAGGACTGTACTCCAGCCTGGGAAGCAGTACAAGACCCTGCCTCAAAAAAAAAAGCCTTACCACTTGTTGAAATAAATAAAGAATCTGAGTTTACACTGAAAAATGGGGGAGAAGGGCAAGCTATTCCTTATAAGTAGTACACCAAGAAATAAACAGAAAGTATAAGGAAATTAGAAAATATCCATTTGACAACCACCACCACTATAAATGAGTGGACAGAAGTTAGTGCTTCCAGAAACTAGTAGAGGATGAACAGGATATTTCCACAGTCTCAAAATACCGTCCCCATAAATGCAATTACAGAGGAGAAAACAGTAACCTTCCAATGGAGACACCTGGCCAACACTACTTTTAAGTCAGTGAATATAGCCGGAAAAAGACAGCAGGCACCTCTGCATGGCATATGCTGAGAATACAACACTTCTGGTGGTATTTCTCACAAGACTTTAACTTGATCCTAATCATAGAGAAAAATCACCAAACAACTGGAATTGAAAAACAGGCTACAAAATAAGTGTTTTTGCACTCTTGAGAAATGTTAACATTGACATGGGTAGTGGCTCACAAGTGTAATCCTAGCACTCTGGGGGGCTGAGGGGGGAAGATCATTTGAGGTCAGGAGTTCGAGACCAGCCTAAGCAAGAGGGAGACCCCATCTCTACTAAAAATTGAAAAATTAGCTGGGAATGGTGATGCATGCCTGTAGTCCTACCTACTGGGAAGGCTTGCTTGAGCTCAGGATTTTGAGGTTGCTGTGAGTTAGGCTGACCCCATGGAACTGTAGTCAGGCAACACGGTGAGAGACTGTCTCAAAAAAAAAAAAAAAAAAAGTAATGGTACAAAACCAAAATCGTAGAAAGTTTTCCAGATTAAAGAAAACGAAACAGACAGGACAACCGAATACAATGCATGACCCTGGAGTTTTTTTTCCCCTTTTAATCTATACAAAACAATACTGGAACAAATAATTAAATCTAAATAAAGCCTAAGATTAGAAGACAGTACTTTACCAATGCTAATTTCTTGGTTTTGATAACTATGGTTATGGAATGTCCTTGCTTTCAGGCAATACTGTAGTATGTACGACAAAGGGACACATGTCTTGCAACCCACTACCACACAGTTCAGAGGGAAAAAAATAGAGAAAAGGATAAAGGAGATGCAGGAAAATGCTAACATTTGAGGACTCTTGGTAAAAGATACAGGGGAATTTCCTGTACTATTTGTCCTGTAATTCTTCTTACATAGGAAGATGTCAAAACAAAACAAAAAACCCAACAACACAGGATTAGGGAATACTTAAAAAGCAAACATGCAACTTTGTATCTCCAGTTACAAAAGATTTTCACACACCATAAAACATCCTATTAATCTGTACTTAATGATAATGCCACTACACAAACACTTACTTTGCTGACAATTATTTTAGAAGATTCTGCTAAACCACTATTGGTGTAAAACTATTCTGGAGATATGGTGAAATTACTTGAGTTTTGCTTTCTATGATTTTAAACCATTTTAAGTTCATGCATTAAAGAGGTCACTCAATTTTCAGTTGAAATCTTCTTAAAATCTACTCATAATGTAGTTGAAAGTAATTCAATAAAACTTATAAACCTACCCGATCAAATATCAAAAGGTATTGTAATGTTCCATAATTAAACTAATTACACGAATTAAACTAATTACAACCATAAAAACCAAACAAACAAAAACACAGGCACAAAATAGTGTGTATTTTACATGAAGTTCTAGAACAGACAAAACTAATCTTCAGTGGAAGTAATCAAAACAGTGTTACTTCTTCTTGCTGAGGCGGGTGGGTGACTGGGAAGTGGCAGTACCAATCTTTTTTTTTTTTTTTTTTGAGACAGAGTCTCACTTTGTTGCCCAGGCTAGAGTGAGTGCCGTGGCATCAGCCTAGCTCACAGCAACCTCAAACTCCTGGGCTCAAGCAATCCTGCTGCCTCAGCCTCCCGAGTAGCTGGGACTACAGGCATGCGCCACCATGCCCGGCTAATTTTTTGTATATATATATATTTTAGTTGGTCAATTAATTTCTTTCTATTTATAGTAGAGACGGGGTCTCGCTCAGGCTGATTTCGACCTTGAGCAATCCTCCCGCCTCAGCCTCCCAGAGTGCTAGGATTACAGGCGTGAGCCACCGCGCCTGACCAGTAGCAATCTTTATGATGACAGAAATGTTTCTTATTTCTATTCCAATTTACTTCACACCATATGCAGAGAAACTTTAAATAAATATCAAAATGTAAAATCATAAATATTACTCTCAGCTAATGTTTTCTTATAATTTTACATCAAAAGAGTGCCTTTTAAAACAACATAAAATCTAGAAGCCACATAGAATAGGTTGACAGTACCCACACATATAAAAGAGTAAACTTTCAGTGACCAAAACACCACAAACAAGTCAAATGACAGATTGGAAAAAAGAATTGCAACATTTTCTATACGGAGAGCCCTTATAACTCAATAAGACAACCCAGCAGAAAAATGGGTAAAGGACATGAAAAGGCAATTCAGAAAATACAAATGGCCAATTATTAGAAACTGTGTAATCTGTGAAGAAATGAAAACAAAAATTTTACCTACAGAAAAATGCAGACAAATACAAAGAAACACTTTATTTCTCTACAAGCAACAGATAAAATGATCAATAATGTTGGATGCTAAGTGACTTAAAAGAAATAGGCACTCTCACCCACTGCTGGTAGGGATATTCAGCAGTATAGCTTGTTAGGAGAGCTATTTGTTAACAGCTATTTCAAAATAAAATGCAGTGTCCCTTGGGCTGGCGGCAGTGGCTCACGCCCATCACCCTGGCACCTTGCCAGGCTGAATTGGGAGGATTGCTAGAGGCCAGGAATTTGACCAGCCGGAGCAAGAGCAACAACCCTTCCGTACAAAAAATGGAAAAATTAGTTGGTGTGGTGGCGGGCACCTGTAGCCCCAGCTATGCCAGAGGCTGAGGCAGGATGTTGCGGTGAGCTAGGATGACACCATTGCACTCTAGCCTAGGTGACAGAACCAAACTTTTGCCCCACCTCCAAAAACATATAAAGTTACCCTCAGGTTATGTGTATTAGCAGCACATAAAACATAAATGAATTCTGATTTCCGATGTGAGTTCCATCCCCAAGATACCTCATTACCTATGTGCAAATACTTGAAAATTCGAAATCTGAAACTCTTCTGGTCCAAAGCATTTCAGATGAGGGATACTCAACTTGTACCAAGAAAACATTCAGAATAACCAAAATGCACAGCTTTGGCTGATTCTTCCTTAAAATAGTAGATGCATGTTACTCAGTTAAACTACCGAGGGGGAAAGATAGACAAGCAAGACACAGGCCCTGCCCTTGACAATCTGGTCATGACAGAAGGCGGGACAACATAAATATCAAATCAAGGCATAAGGACCTAGGAGCTGGGAATGCAGAGGAGTTAAGGACAGCTGAGGTGCTATGGATGGAATGACACGAAGTAGGCCTTGAATGCAGACAGATGGGGAAGAAGGGTAGGCAGAAAACATAAGCCAAGACACAGAAGTCAAAGGGGGTGAATCATGTTTTGGGGGCCTGACTAAAACACAGGGCACGGGTGTGGGAAATAAGACAGATGTGGGTAAGACCAGGTGGCCAATAATGTGACATGCAATATGACTTTTACTCTGTGGGCAGTTTTTGAAAGAAATGTTATATAAGTGGCAATTCTGTCTTGGCCAGGTGGTATTTAATAGGGAACTCATTTTCTGTAAATCAGACCAATAGGAGAGTTAAGCAGTGCCCAACACTCTCTCTGTAAAGAACTTTAACAAGGACTATTGAGCAACCTACAGAGTAAACGAATATAGGGGTATATATTCTTTCTATCCTCTGCTGGACCAAGCTAACAAAACAGTAGAGTGATCGTCAAGGAAATGCAAAGCTTCTTTGAAGGCTCTTGATTCACAGAGTGGTGGCCAAGTCCAAAAAGCCAAATAAGTGAGGAACATTAGCGAAGTAGTACCATTGAAGGAAGTTCTTAGTATGACACCTGCTTATGATGTGCACGATACCTTTGCTGGATCTCTGTGGTGTTTTCTTGTTTCTTTCAGAGGTAATTTCAATTTCATCAGGATTACCACCTTCATCTTCAATTGCCTAAAGAGAAGGCACAAGTAAAGTTGACCAAAGTCAGCACACAGCCTGACTTTCACAGAACCTTCAGGTGAGAAGGCACATGTATCTTTTAGAGCATATAGCTGCTGATCTAGAAATGACTTCCCCCACCGGGCATCTAGCCCATCCTTTCATCTGTTCTCTTGCTCTATGCTCCAGTCAGACTGACTCCACCAGTTCTTAGCTGTGTGGTCTTAGGCAGGATGACGTAATTGCTCTGAGTCAGTTTTTCTCCAGAACAGGGGGCTAATAATATTAATAGTTCTCACCCTGGAAGGCTGTTGTGAGGACTCTATCATGCACATAAAGAAAGCATTTACCAAATATTAGGGCTTATGTGGTCCATCCTATTCCTGGCACCAAAAGAACTCAAAAAGAGAAAGGCACACTCTCCAATTTCCTATGACTTTACACAGCACAGTGCCATGTAAGACTCCAGGGACCCCCTCCTTGCCATGCCTGCGTAGATGCTACCACTCACTGGCTGGGTTCCTACTGTGATAGGCGTGGAACCAGACATGACATGCCTTGCCTCAGCCAACTGCAATCGCATATATCAACTGACTCCAAAGACCTCACTTTCAATTACTAGGTGACCCTGCCTCATAGGACTCTGAATAACGATTTCTTGGCAAGCCCTGCCTCCCACTGAAAGAACTTGTCATTCACTGGTAACAGTTCCCACAGTCAGCACAGTTTCTGCCACCACGCAGGCACCCCTGTAAATCAATACTGAACACGTCAGTGATGATGATATCACTATAAACAGGGCTTCAAGTTTAGTCTTACTGATAACTTTCAGTCTTTACTGTGATATCCTGTGAGCACAAGTTTTCTTTCCAGTATTCCCTAACCTTTTAGACAGCATGGACCGTTTTCATGGAAGACAACTTTTCCTCAGATCAGAAAGAATAGGGATGGTTTCCAGATGATTCAAGCTCATTACATTTATTGTGCACTTTATTTCTATTATTAGTACATTGTAATATATGATGAAATAATTATTCAGCTCACCATAGGTTTCGGACCATTGCTTTAAATTCATTTAAAATACTCTATTCTATTTATAGAGTTTCAGAAGTCTCAAAGTTTCCCAGGTTGGGAAATCTGAATTTAGAACTGGGCCCGGGAGTTACACACCTAATCTGTTCTAGCAGCAAAGAAAATCTCCCCTCCTCCTGGAAGCCAGTGAAGGAACTGGACTTCTGTCCTGGGATAAAGGAAAAGCACAACCACAAAGACCTTCACCCTCTTACTGCGGACATTCAATTCTGAAACATCACCAGAAGTATAGAAAAAATGATACGTCACAGAGGAAAAGTGTTCCATTTCCAACATTTGCTTTTTTGCCCTTCCTGGAAATATAAACCAAGCAATGGACACCATCTACATATGTGGCAGACATGGGAGATAAACCGAAGGTCAGTAGTTGCAGAGGTGTTTGGACCAGGCAGCAGATGGGCCTGGGCACTGATGGCTCTTGTGTTATAGAACCACATTGCTAAGAAACTGAAAAGAGGGAGAAGGGAAGAGGAATGGATTTGTGTTGTCAGAGATGACAGTGATTGAGAGGATTCCTGAAGTCACACACCAGTCTCAGCCACCAGCCTAACAGCAAGGGTACATGCCATCCAAGCAGCCTTGGATGCCTGTGAGCTGTTCTGGGGCAAGAAGGGGAGGAGAGGATAAAGCCCCTCAAATTGGTTTGGTTGATGAGGACTCCTGGCGGCTAAGAACAGGGACCACACCTGCCCAGCCACCAACCCCCACTCTGCATTTCCTCCAGGTAAATGTCTGCATCAAGCAACCTCCTGCCTGTCTTAAGTAAAGAGAGCTAGTATCCATAGTGAAAGAAACACAAGCTCGAGTTTTGTAAAGGTCCAAGGGAATATGAGCAAGTTGACTAGCCATGTTTGAGCCTGACAATAAACAATGTCTCCTCCTTCCTCTCAGTAGGAATTAACAAGAAAGGCACCACCTGGGGTTGTTTGGGAGCCAGGAGGGTGAAGTGAGTGACCAGCCTCGTCGTCTGCAGGGGCTGCAGGGTAGGTGGCCAGGCTGAGATTACAGGGATGAGGTCTCAAGAGAGGAGTAGCTAGAGAGCAGAAAGGAGAAGGGTTAGAAACACAGCAACAGGACTATGCAAAGTATACGGGAAGTAGAAAGCAGCTGGTGTTCACTTGACTCAGTGCTTTTCAAGGGATCCCTAAGAATCCCCCAAGGGAGGGGGGTTAGAACCCTGAGTCTGCAAATGATAAACGGTGGTGGCACAGACAGGGAACGTTGAATGGTCATAGCAAGATTCGCTGAGTTTCACGCGTGCCAGGCAGCACGTGAAGACTGTTCCACGCAACCTTCTCTAATCCTCAAACCAAAGCACGCGTGCTTTCTTCTTTTCACGGAGGAAGACACAGACTCAGAAGTGGTTAAAGGTCTTCCATGCCCTAGATCAGGCCACTGAGAGCTGGCCAAGTCCTCAGTCCAGACACATTGACCTGGGGGAACTCGCTCTCTCCCTGCGTATTGGTGAATGAAGTCCCAAAGTGGGTTTTCAAAAGTCCTTCCTTCCCGAATGTAACCGTATTTTACATTTCTGATCGCTACCGTCAATACTTCCGTCCCTTCCTGACACGTTTCCTCCCAGAAACTAGAGCCAGAAATCACTAAAATGGTTCCTTAAAGTCTTTCTCCCTTTGAGTATTTTCCTTAAATGTTTACTTTGCCATTATGGAGACTGGTATGAGACGAGAGGAGAACCCCCGCTCGGGGGCCCCTGTCATCTGTCACCGGCGGCCCAGGACCGCAACGGCTTCTCCCGCCGCGTCCCGTTTTTCCGTTCTTCTCCTCGCCCCAGGGGTTGAACCCGCGCCCGGCCAGGCCAGGCTCCGAGCTGCCGCCGGGGCCTGGGAGCAGCCGGGAGGCGCAAGCGAGCCAGGCCCGGGCAGGCCGCGACCGGCCCGGGGGCGGACCCGGGCCAGGGGACCGGAGTCGCGGCCGCCGGGACCCCTCACCCGCGCTTTACCCCGACCACGGGACCCCGGCTCCACCTTTTTCAGCCGCTCCATCAACACGCTCTTGTTGCCGCTCGAGTCCAGATTCCGTTTCCTCAGCTCCGCTCGGAGGTCGATCACCCGCAGGTCGCTGAGGCGCCGCGTCCCGGTCTCCGACGAGGCGGAGCTCAGAGCCGCTGTGCCCGCCGCGCCCGAATCTCCTGGGCCTGACAGAGTCTCCGCCATTCCAGGGTCCCTGGCTCCGCCGCCCACTTCACACACTACCGGCCCGGGTCTAGCTCGGCTCCTAGCACAACACGGCGCCGCCTATGAGGGAACCGCTCCAGCTGCCCCGGCGCGCCTCGCTCCTGTGCAGGCGCACCCGGCGCTGTGGACTCTCCCTGCGAGTCGCATCTGCACATGCGTCATGAGCGACGCTCCGGGCTGTGCGCAGGCGCGATAAGCCTCGGCAGCCTCCCGCCGCGAGCCGCCGGTATGTTTGGGTGCTGAAGTTACTTCGTCTGCTCGTCGTGGCCGGGAGCGCGCCTGCTGCTTGGGACGCCGGTCGGGGCGGTGCGCATGCGTATGCGTGACCGCAAAGCGGGGCGGGAGGAAACCAGTGCGTTTTCCTCTTAGGCGGCGCCATTTTGTGCTCAGAGCCGCTATAGCCGCCGCCGGTGAGGCGTCGAGTCGGTAGCGGAGACTGGCGGGCAAGGATGGCGGAGGCTGTGGCAGGGCCGGGCGACTCGGGCCCTGGCTCGGCCGCTCTGTGCTCGGTCGCTGCGGAGACTGGGACGCGGCGGCTCAGCGACCTGAGGGTGATCGACCTGCGGGCGGAGCTGAAGAAGCGGAACCTGGACACTGGCGGCAACAAGAGCGTCCTGATGGAGCGGCTCAAGAAGGTGGGACGGGCTGAGGGTCGGGGGTGGCGCAGGAGGCCCGGGGACGCCCCCGCGCGGGCCTGTCACCGTGGCTCCGGGACTCGGGCGCCCCTGGCTCGCCCCACTATTGGCCGCCCGGGTCCGGAGCTGTCGGGCACCCGAGGGGCCGGGCTGTGTGACCTTGGGTATTCATGGGCACTCTCTGTGCCTCGCTTCTTACTCTCCTTTCAGTCATTCCTCTCTGTGCGCTTAAAATGTAGTCCTCTTGGCTGCCAGGGTCGTCCCTGGACCCTCTCCCGCGCGGCTCCCGGTCCATTTTTGGCTCCGTGACCTTGGGCAGGTGCCTTTCCCCTCTGTTGCTCTGTTTCTTCCTCCGGAAAATGGGTGTCTGAAGAACCGCTGGAAGTTTACAGTAAAAGGGGCGGTGCTCGTTGCTGCCCCGGGGCCTTCGCACTTAATGTGCTGGCCACCCGGACTGCTGGTCCCCCATGGCTGGCGCCTTGTCATTTTAGAACTGTCTGAGACATCGTCTCCCTGAAGTGCTGCTCCACCTCCTAGTTCCTGTCTGTGGCACCATCCTGTGTTTACACTCCACTGTGCAGTACTTGACACAAACTTGTGTCCCTAGGGATTGTCTGTCTCGCCAACTGGAGCAAGGTCTGTCAGGGTGGAGACCTTGTGAGTGTCTGTTCGTGTCTTACGCAGGTGGAAGGCACTGAAAGACCTGTTGAGTAGAACCACCAATCTCCCCTGTGCCTAGGCTGCTGCTTTTTCTTCCACCCCAGAGGTCACTAGCCCTCCTCCCTAGCAGCTTCTCTGTTAGTATTTGTTCTGTTGTGTAACTTCAAAGTAGAAGGTTGGGCAGTGTGGAGATTAGTGCCTGTATTGGAACTGGTCATGGAACCCAATTCACAAGCACTGGCTCAAGGCCTCTCTTCCCTTCCTTTGTCTTTTGGCCCAGAGAGAACCTAGTCGTGCTGGGTTCATCCTATTCCTTTTCAGGCTTGCATCACAGATAACTGAACCAGAGTTGCTCTTTGCAAGGATGGGTTTGCCTTTGTTTATTGGGAAGTTGTTACTTACGAAGAACAGTGTGTGCCATGCCTCATCTAAATAACATTGTAAAAATTCATTTCTGTCTTACAGGCAGTTAAAGAAGAAGGTCAAGATCCTGATGAAATTGGCATCGAGTTAGAAGCCACAAGCAAAAAGACATCAAAGAGATGTGCTAAAGGTATACACACATGTAATTTTTTTGTCTTTCGGGCTTGACTGTTTAGAGAACTTAGAGAAATAGTGTTTGCAGCACTCTTTGAGCCCACTAGGCCACAAGGAGAACAGCTTAGGCCCTCAGTGTCTCCCCTCTGAGAATTAGACTGGCTCTTCACCTAACAAGTCATTGAATCAAGGGTGTGGACAAGAGTAGAAATGTACTGGTGCCAAATAAAATGAAAAAATAGTAAAAACATTTCACTTTCTGTCACTGGGATTACAAAATCGCTAGAGTAAAACAAACTCTTAAAGTTGCCCCTCCTGGTCTGAGAAACTAAATGCACCTGTTTGCTTCCTTCCTGGTTCAAAAAATAAGTGTTAACTGTAGGACAGTGACACCAATTCGATATAGAATAGAACTCAGCTTCTCTAGGATCCAAAACAGATTGTTGGGGTATTTGCACTCAGTGTATTTTTTACCAGTATGTATTTTTTTTTGTGGGGAGACAGATCTCCTCTATTGCCTGAAGTACAGTGCACTGGCCTCATCATAGCTCACTGCTACCTAAAATGCCTGAGTTCTAGCAATCCTCTTGCCTCAGCCTCCTGAGTAGTTTGAACTATAGGCATGAGCGAACATGCCCAGCTAATTTTTCTGTTTTTTGTAGAGATGGGGTCTTGCTGTGTTGCCTAGCCTGGTCTCCCACTCCTGGGCTCAATCAGTCCTCTCACCTCAGCCTCCCAAAGTGCTAGCATTACACCACCACACCTAGCCCCCATTGTGTTTTTTGAAATTAAGATCCAGTTTATAAACCAGTAAATTCACCTGACAAGTGAACTAGCACCTCTTGTATTTTCCTGGATGGAGCTTGAGGCCATCCTTTGAAGTAAGGTGTCCCAAGAATGGAAAAACAAGCACCTCACCATCAAATTGTTACTAACTGATCAACACTAAGGTGCTCATTGGTTGCTGGTCATGTGGGGGGGGTGGGGGGGTAAACACACGAGTAATGGATGCCGAGCGCACTGTATGGGGGAGGAGCATGCTTGTGGCCCTGGCTTGGGTGAGGAAAAGGCATTATATGTAACGAAAATGTTTGTATCCCCCAAATATTCTGAAATAAAAAAAAAAAAAACTCACCTGACGAAAGTGTACAATTCAGTGCTTTTTACCATATTCACAGGCTGTGCACCCACCAGCACTATCTAATGCCAGATTTTCATCACCTCAGAAGGAAGCCTTGTCCCCTTAGCAGTAACTCTTCTATCCCTATCCTTATAGATTTGGCTGTTCTGGACATTTTATATAGGTGGAATCATACAGTGTGTGGCCTTTGCTGTCAGCTTCTATCACTCACGGTGTTTTCAGGGTTCATCCTTGTAGTAATGTGTATTGGTATGTCATTCCCTTTGATAACTCATACCAGCTATTTTTGGAAGTGTTTATAAAACTTTGAAACCTTGACTATCCTAATTGGTATTATCTTCCTTGTTAGATTTCACCGTGATAAGGCCAGTGTAATTTCTTGTGCAATGGGCCTGTTTCTAAAAGACACTGTATGGAAATTCTCGCAACTGTACAGATACCTTTCATCTCCAGAAGTAGTAAATTCAGATAATGGAGAATATCTGCTGCTTTGAAAGTAAAAAGAAATGGTAGCATTTTTAACAATTTCCTTTTTTTTTTAATTTTTAATGGCTTTTCCTAGAAGCACTACTTCCCATAAATACATCTAACTATTTGAAACTTGTATATGTGTTTTTAAAGGTTAGATTTTTAGTTAGGCTACATATGGGATTTAAATTCGAACTTATTTTAGAGATGTTGGTATGTTTTTGCTCTTCCTGTAGCTGTCTGTATTTCAGCTGGGAACACTGACTGTCCCAGCAGATACAGAACGTGAGGGACTGGCCTACAGCAGGAAACACATACCTCTTGTACTTAGGTATTAGCTGTGATCTGAAAGTCTGTTTTTGAGTAGTTGTAAAAACTGCCTAGCAATACAATTTGCAGTATTTCATTGTAGATGCTCATTTATAATTGCAAAGTTCAACACTTACTGAGATGTTCTCGGCTCTTAACAGGAATGTTTTGCATCATTAGGAAAACTAATCTTTGCCAAGTGCTTTAATCACCTGTCTGAATGTCTACTCAAATCAAAATTACTTGGAGTTAGCACTTTGTCAGGAAAGGCAACAGTTACTGCCATGGATATAAAGAAAACGCCTCTGGCCTCTACTGTAGTGGTCATTCAGAGGGCTTCTGGTCCTTTCCCATTCCTTTTTCAGAGAAGTAACCCAGCTCAGAGAGAAGAAACAGGTGGCCTGGGTCCTCAGGCAGAGCTCAGCGTCTGCCAGTCTCAGTGTTCTACATTGAGCTAGCCATGTTCTCTGCAGGTGTCTGGGCACGTGGTTAGTATAGGACGTGTGAGACCCTTATGGCTTCGTGGTTGAAATTAGGTCCTGTGATCATTTAAAGTGTTGGATTAGGAGGACCTAATCATTACTTTTTGGAATGCTACGGTACATTGTTCAGTTAGGCCAGAGTTGGACTCATTCTGGGAACTCACCACTGACTGCCTCCTTTCCAAAGTGAGAAGTAGCCAAATTTTCTCAGAGAAAACTTCATCATGAATTGGAGTAAGATTTATCACTCACCTAACAGGCAAAATTATCAGAAACTTGTAGGTAGGTTTTGAAAGATCAAAATTTTGATTAAAAATTGGAAAGCTGTAGGTTATATGTGGGGTTCAAATTGGATTTTCTTACACCTGTGTCTCCCGAGCCTTCAGCTTTTAGTCGCAGGAGGCCAGGCAGGCGCTTGGGTTGGGGTGTGCCTGTGTGCTGAGCCTTGGCTTTTTTTTTTTTCTTCTGCATCTCTCCTGTTCACATCCTATGTGGGCACTGCAGGCTACTATTTAGAGGCTAGAAATTGGGTGCAATTAGGAAGCATTTTTAGATAGCTCATTTCAGAAGGATATACCATGTTTAGGTACAATGGGAAGTGGGACGGCTGAGTCTCTGAGTCCCAGCTTTGGAGCAGAACCAAATTCTCTTATGTCAAAGGCACATGATGAAACCTGCTAGCATTGTTGGGAGTGTGAAATAATGAAATGTAAAGCTCGTGGTGCTTCGCACATAATAGAACTACATTCCTTAAATTATTATTGATGAGAATGGTCTAGAGATTCTTAAGGTAGACACTGCTGATTGGATATTTTAATCAAACATTGAGGGTTTTTTTGTTCTTCAATTTTTTTTTTTTTTTTTTTTTGAGACAGAGTCTCACTTTGTTGCCCGGGCTAGAGTGAGTGCCATGGCGTCAGCCTAGCTCACAGCAACCTCAAACTCCTGGGCTCGAGTGATCCTTCTGCCTCAGCCTCCCGGGTAGCTGGGACTACAGGCATGCGCCACCATGCCCGGCTAATTTTTTATATATATATCAGTTGGCCAATTAATTTCTTTCTATTTATAGTAGAGACGGGGTCTCGCTCAGGCTGGTTTTGAACTCCTGACCTTAAGCAATCCGCCCGCCTCGGCCTCCCAAGAGCTAGGATTACAGGCGTGAGCCACAGCGCCCGGCCCAATTTTTTTATTATCATAAAATATATGTAACAAATTTTAGCAGCTTAAACATTTTTAAGTGCACAGTTCAGTGATATTAAATACATTAACAATGTGCAACCATCATCACTGTCTGTCTCCATAACTCTTTCCATCTTGTAAAACTGCGGCATTTTACCTTTAAACAATAACCTCCCATTTTCCGTTCCCCCATCCCCTGGAAACCACCATTCTTCTTTCTGTCTCTATGAATTTTACTATCCTAAATACCTCAGAAACGTTGAGGTTTTTCATGGTTAATTGTCTTATTTTAAAAATTTATGAAAATAATACCTTTAGGTAATTTGGAAAATGTAAAAAAGTATGCATGTGAAAATAAAATTATGTCTATTCTTATCGCTCAGTGTTTTAACGACTGTTGAAGATGGTCGTATCTATCTGTGTTTCACAATCACATCCTCACAGTTGCATATACACAAACATGTGCTTTTAATAAAAGTAGATGTATATTTTTCTGTGTTTACCTCATGGGCATTATCCTGTCCTTAAATATTCTTTAAAAGCATGACTATTTTTATACCATTTGATTGAGTTTGTGGTAAAAGAAAAAAAAATAGAAAAGCACAAATTTTTGTAATGTCACAAGGCATTGTGGAACACAGTTTCTCTGCCTTGGCTCTGTTGCCAATTTGCGTGGAGTAATTCCTGGGTATTATAGGGCCATGAGTGGTACCGCTAGCCACCAGATGTTGGCAGCATCCCCCCAAGTCATGACAACCAGAGAGGATTCAGACATTGCCAAATTACCCCCCGGTCCCTCCATTGAGAACCACATAGGAAGAAAAATGTGCCATAATTTGTTTCCCTTTTGGATATGTAGGCTGTATATACTTTTTAGATAGATTAAATACCTATGTTTTAGATTCCTTGTTATACATATTGAGTGACAAAAGGGGACAATGTTCCAGTGGGTGGGACATAGGGAGAACTGGCCAGTTACTAATCCAACATGTTACTTTTTAGGTTGATTACCAGGAGGGTATTGCTTTTTTTTTTTTTTTTTGCTTGTTTGAAAAATGTATTTTTGTTCTTTGCTGCTTTTTCCTTTGTGATATTTGTCTTAGTGCAGAGTGGTTTTGAAAGCTCTTGAAGCCTTTAGATACTTTGTGGAAAATCAAAATATTTTGATAATTTGATGGGAATCCTAGATTTTCACATGCCTGTGGATAGCTAACTTAGAATAGGAATTGAGACAAAAGTACATAAGGTAGACGAATGGGTACTTCTTTCAGTTTCTCTTGTAACATGTTCTAGAATTGCAGTCTGTTATTCTGCATAAACTAATGATGATTCTAGAACTTGGGTGTTAGCTGATTGGATAATTATTCTGTAATCAGGACAGAAGATGGAGGAGGAAGGCACAGAAGATAACGGCCTGGAAGAAGACCCCAGAGATGGGCAGGTATGTGGGGTCACAGTGGCAATGACAGCAACAGCTCCATGTTCTTGTCCTCCTGGTCGTCTGTGCATCTCGTTGCTCTTCACAGGAGGACGTGGAAGCGAGCCTGGAGAACTTGCAGAGTATCGATATGATGGACATTAGCGTGCTAGATGAGACTGAAGGCGAGAATAGCAGTTCTCCAGATTTTGGGGAGGATGGTGCTGACAGCATTCTCGATTCCCTGTGTGACAGTAAAGAATACGTGGCGGCGCAACTGAGACAGCTTCCGGCTCCACTCCCAGAGCATGCTGTAGGTAACTTGGACACCTGGCAGAATGTGCCAGTAGCCCCAAGGCACCATGGTGGTCACATGCTGCTTGTGTGAGGGAGGCTGCAGCTAAATCACCATGAAAACATAATTCAGTGTCTAAACCCTGGTGGTAAATCATATGCATTTAAATTCTTTGTAGGTCACATATCAACTAATGGACAGCTTTCTGTACTCATGGAGAAGCACCATGTGATGTTTGATGGGGAGACACTTTCTAAGCATGCTGTAAAGTCATAAAATAGAAGGTTGACAGTTAATAAAAATTCTTTCCTTTTAAAAATAGTTTTAAAAAACAAAAATGGCTCATAATCACATCCTGCAGATACTCCTGTTGATTGTGTTTCAATGTGCTCTATTGCACAAGGTTAATTATGTTAAAAGATATAAAGCAAGGTGAAGAAAAGTCCCCCTGCATCCAGGAACCCCTCTCCCCAGGGGATTCACTGTTCACATCCTGGTGTGTAAAGAAGAGCTCTGGGACTCAAGCGATCCTCCTGCCTCTGCTGGGATTACAGGCGGGAGCCACCATGCCACTCCAGGAGGGCTTTAATATCTATATACCTTTCCCAACTTTTCACTCCTAGTATTTTGGTATAGAGCTCTCTGGTGAGATTGTTCAAACATCTAGAACTGACAGTTCTAGGACGGGGTCACTGTCCTAGGACTGATTGACATTTTTATCTGACTGCACATGCCCAGCCATTTTAGCTGGTGGTTTTATTTTTTTTTTTTTTTTTGAGACAGAGTCTCACTTTGTTGCCCAGGCTAGAGTGAGTGCCGTGGCGTCAGCCTAGCTCACAGCAACCTCAAACTCCTGGGCTCGAGTGATCCTTCTGCCTCAGCCTCCCGGGTAGCTGGGACTACAGGCATGCGCCACCATGCCCGGCTAATTTTTTATATATATATATCAGTTGGCCAATTAATTTCTTTCTATTTATAGTAGAGACGGGGTCTCGCTCTTGCTCAGGCTGGTTTTGAACTCCTGACCTTGAGCAATCCGCCCGCCTCGGCCTCCCAAGAGCTAGGATTACAGGCGTGAGCCACAGCGCCCGGCCTGGTGGTTTTATTAATGTGTCACAGCTTTAAACTTTGAGGGTAAATGCCCTTGAAGGACTGAAACTTAAGCCTTAGTGTCAAAACTCACGAACTCCAAATTTACCACACCTTGGCCTAGAGTAGCATATTGGGCAACTGCAAGTATTGCTGTGAAGTGAAATTGGAGGAGTGAAGAGTTTGTCATTTTGAGTTCTGCCTTGGAAGTCCTGTGGTTGGGTGGTGTATGTTAATCACCAGCACTTAGAAACTGCCTGGGAAGTGCATTCAGCCAATGCAGGCAGTGTGAGCCTACCATCTGCAAGCCATTGTCACAGACACTGGTATAACAGTCTTGGAGTATGCATTTTGGCGGGGAAGGAGGTGCTAAACTGAGTCATCCAACAGTAGAGTTGCATATGGTGGCAGGTGCTATGACAGAAATAGGCACAGATTGCCTTGAAAGTGGTGAGGTGTAGGCCTCTGCGTTCACAGCTGTGGTCTCCACAAAGTAATGTTCCATTTTGTTTTTCAGGTGGATGGGGAAGGATTCGAGAACACTCTGGAAACTTCATCATTGGACTTCAAAGTAACTCCAGTAAGTTGCCCTTGGGTTCTGTGTTGCTGGAAACTTTAAACAAGTGGTTGATTATTAGTTACAAAAAAGAGAGAGAGAGTGCGTGTGCACGCGTGCGTATGCGCTCCTGTGTGATGTAAAAATGATTAATTGAGCGTTGATACTGAGCTAGGTGCAGGAGATGAGAGGTTAGCAAAACATGTACAGTCTCAGTGTGCAGTGTAGTGGGGCAGTGTAGTGTTACAAAGCCACCAAGCATGTGACTGGAAGGGAAAAGAGGTGCCAGGAGGAGCAATTCAGGGGATTGGGCTACAGAAGCAACTGGAAGACTCGCCGGGGGATGTCCTGTTTGAATCGAGGCCTGACATAAAGGTCTGTGGGTTAGCCGGGTGAGGGGGCAAGGAGAATTGGGAACAGAAGATGCGGGCAGTGGCCTGGAGGCAGGAGGTAGAGTTTAGCACGCAGGATGGGGGTGGAGGGGGAGGCCAGGGGTGGAGCTGCAAAGCAGGTGGGGCGCCCCGTGGTCTGAGCCACAGGAAGGACTTGACCTCATGTCCTGAGTGGAAAAGGTTTTTTCAGCAGGATGGAGAGACAGATGTGTTCAAGACAAAGGGTTCTGGTTACAATAACAGTTTTATGTTGGGAGAAATACCTTTCTTCAGTGTGGTGTGATGTGTAGCGGTGGCCTCCTGTGTGACCTCTGCTTTGACTGGGAGTCTTTGCCAGCTGCAGTGGCCACTAGGGGTGGGTGGGGTGGGGTGCAGGGGCCAGACTCCAAGGGAAGAATCTGACAGGCTTGGTATTGCTGCTGCCGACCCGCTGGTGCCAGGGAAACTGGCAGAGCGAGCTTATCTTCATCAAGGTATTTGGATTGGAATATAATTTTTTGAAAGGAGAAAGTTTTTTAGAAATAGGCATTTATTCACAGAAAGCTATTTTTGCTAAGGAAATGTATCTGTCACAGTTTTTAAAGTGACTTGCGGATTTGCTTTTTTTTTTTTAAAATAGGATATTGAAGACCCTCTGTTGGAGCCAGGTACTGATAAGAGAAACACGACAGTTATGGTTTGCAAGTTTTCATGCTACTATGATTTGAAAGCTGTATATATTTTAAGCTGTGTTATGCTCTCGTAAATGGCGCTAATGGTGGACAATCCAGATCGTACGAGGATCAGAGATTGGAAACCCATGCGTATCACCAGATCTGTGGGCGTGCCTTTCTGGCTTCTTGAGGTCAGATATATTTGGTGAGATGTAGTGATTATTTTCACCTCTAACCACGTAGAGTGGCATTTAATTCACCCTCTCCCCAAGATTCTTCCATGTGTTTCTACACATGATCACAGATCTTGTGATATTTTGCTGCAGTTGTTCTGATTAATGCAGTTAAAGCAGGATAAAACTGTTGTCAGGGCACTTAGAACCTGAGAAGTGACTGGATTCCACAAGAGCAAACAGAGTTTCTTCATGAAAATTTTCAACATGTTATTCCCCTTCTGGACTGCGTTTATCTCCCACCGTCGGAAGAGTTTCTGGTTTTCATATTGGACTGTTCTGTTAAAAGAAATTCAAAGAAATTTGGAAATTGAGCTGTCATTGAATGGTGATTGCATTCGGTTCAGCACCTTGGACATTGGAAAATCAGTCAGAAGACCCAGACTTGAACAAAAACTAGAAGAAGACTATCGAGAAGCAGACACATGGTTGTAGGTGTTTAAATCTGTGGGGGCCTTTTCTCTTCCGTGTAGCATAGAGGCTAACCTAGTAGTCGGTCGGAGCGCAGGTAGTGTAACCAGTGTAACTTTGCATACCCGCGGGTTTTCCAATCTCTGTGTAGCTAGCAGTTCTCTTCGTGTTAGTGTGGCAGCCGTGCCAGTTCCGCATTTGTGATTGCTTTATTTCCCTGGTAATTAAACCTTGTGCCATTCTATTCCTGTTAAATCCGTAGAAAATGAGAAAATACTCGACATTTTGGGGGAAACTTGTAAATCTGAGCCAGTAAAAGAAGAAGGTTCCGAGCTGGAGCAGCCATTTGCACAGGATACAAGTAGCGTGGGGCCAGACAGAGAGCTCGCGGAGGAAGAGGACCTTTTTGACAGCGCCCATCCGGAGGAGGGTGATTTAGATTTGGCCAGCGAGTCAACACACGCTCAGTCGTGCAAGGCAGACAGCCTGTTAGCGGTAGTGAAAAGGGAGCCCGTGGAGCAGCCAGGCGATGGCGAGAGGATGGACTGTGAGCCTGTAGGGCTAGAGCCGGCAGTTGGGCAGAGTAGCGCAGCCTCCGAGCACGCGGAGGCCTGTAGCGAAGAGGTCGCGGAAGCGCCCGCAGAAGCCCCAAGTCCAGAAGGCAGAGATAGCAAAGAAGACGAGAAGAAGTTTGATTTTGAAGCTTGTAATGAAGTCCCTCCAGCTACTAAAGAGTCCTCAACCAGTGAGGGCGCTGATCAGAAAATGAGGTTTGTTTTTTCTCAGTTTTAGACCAGACGCTATCTCCTTTTCATTGGTCATTTAGTGACACACATAAGCTGTTTTTCTGCAATTGGCCAGCCAGACTGATGAAATTGTAGTTTTGCTTCTAAAGAATGTCTTAGTTCTCTTTGTGTATTTTTAATGGTTGATTCAATTTCTTTTCTTTTTCTCAACCTACCATGGTTGTGTTCTTAAATTGTTAGTTATCTTCAGCTAAATCGAATTGCCTTTTACCAATCTGACATTGTATTTTTGGGGTCAGATTTTTCAATATAAGCTTGCAAAGGGTGTCTGTTAAGATTTTATTTCAGACTAATTTTCTGGTAGGTATTCAGTTTTAGCACATACCATACTTTTAATTTTGTTCTCTCTCATTTTTTTCCGTATGAGTAACATTAACTTTTGTCTCTAGCTCTTTTAAGGAAGAAAAAGATATAAAGCCAGTCATTAAAGATGAAAAAGGTATGAATTAACTCGAGAGGCAGGGCGCCATGTATGGATCCCTTATTTGGGGAGGAGGGGCCTGCAGATCCCCCACTTTGGATCCAGTGATTTAATTGTTTTATTGTGGGTTGCTGAGATTAACCACCTGGTGGCTTCTTGAGAGACAAATTTTAAACGTTTGTGAGTGTCTGCATTTCGTGTTTCTATTGTGGTTGTTTATGGGATAGTGTAAAGCCGCTTACAAGAAAGGAATAATTGTGTCCATTGAAGAAGAGTAAGAATTTTTAGAGCCTGTTGTGTCGTTGCAAAACGGATCATCAGATGACATTACAGTTTGTAACTGACGTGGACATGATTATTTCTTGAGTAAAGAAACTCCATTTTGCTGTTGGAATTTTCAATCTTCTGTCCTGTGTTTTGACACGAGTGTGTGTGTGTGAATTGAATTCTTCAATCAGAACAGTAGGGGTTGGATGTAGTTAGGACTTTAGAAGAGGGGTCTAACCTTGAGAGTGGAGGCGCCTCCCATTACACATTGAGTTAAAGTATAATTCTCATCTCACCGCAGGTCGAGGCAGCAGCAGTTCTGGTAGGAACCTGTGGGTCAGTGGACTGTCCTCCACAACTCGGGCAACTGATCTCAAGAACCTTTTCAGCAAATATGGAAAGGTACGCATACCCTTGCATCTTGCCATGTGGCCTCAATATAGATTAAAAAAGAAGCTCAAGAACTTCTTATTTGTGTTAATTCTATTGATTATCCTTTCTGTTTTTTGTTTTTTTTTTTAAACCTGAGAAACTCCTCTCACCTTTTTGTTGTGTGTCTTGTTTCCTGGTTCACAGTAACCAGGATATCATGTGGAACAGATGACTGGTTATATTATAACCCTGCTTAGAGTATGTGTATTAAATAGCTACGATCTAGATGGTCTTGTGGTTCTTTTTAACTTGTTTTTATCAAAACTGATGATCTTTTGTCTTACACAAAGCTTAAAGCTAACATACTGAATTTTCCCTTTAAAAGTAAGTGAATAATTGACTTTTATATCTTCTGGTAAAAGTATATAGTTGAAGTATATAATTTGGTAACTGGAACATGACACTTGAAATATATAGTTTGGTAACTGCAACATGACACTGGTTTAAAAAATAAATCGGTGATTTGGTGCTTGTGAAGGCAGGACAAAAAAACCACAATTCAGAAACCTTCCAAAGGAACTTGAAGGACAATTTAAGGTGATACCATTGTCTTGGAATTAATTAACGAAAGTCTCATGATAAGCAGGTAGAACTGCCCTGGTCTTCTGGGTGCCTGTGCGAGTGGCCCCTCCAAGGGAGAAAGGCTCAGTACCTCTTAGCGTCTGGAAGGAACGGGGATTCCAGGCAGAGCTTCTGAGCCTGTCTGATGCACCTTATCCTGCTGCAGAAGTCATTCCTTTGTCTAGGTCTCTGTCACCTGATCAGGTGTTGGTTAATGGTTCAGTGACTTCACACAGGCCCCAGAAAACACATCTGTTTCCTTTTCTTTAAGGGCTCAGAAAACTTATAGCCATATATAACTATTTGGTTATTTTGTTGATGTCCTCCTTGACTGAGAACTGATCGTACAGCAGAAACAGACACATGTATGGTCAATGTTGTCATTGATGTTTTAGTTGTCTGGTGGAAAACGCAACATTTAAGGAATAACAAGTTCACTGAGTACAGTGGCTCAGGCCTGTAGTCCCAGCACTTTGGGAGGCTGAGGCTGGCCGAATGCTTAAGCCCAGGAGTTTGACAGTCCTGTGAGCTGGGCTGAGGCCATGGCACTATATCCCAAGCAACAGAGCAAGACACTATCTCAAGAAGAAAGAAAAAAGCTACTGTCTTGCTCTTTGTTTCCTGTTTATTCATTGATTCCTTTTTCCTATTAATCTGCCTTCTTGTAGACTGAATCTTTGATTTGTGGCTGCTTAGCGATAACTCTGTTGTGTTATTCTTCCGTGATTGTGTTTTAGGATTTGCAGTGCGCATCTCAACTTTTACTGTATATTTCCACATGACGTCATCCTGGTTCAAGTACAGTACCAGAACTTCGCAAGAGTTCCCTTCCACTTCCCTCTCCCAATCTTTGTGATATTATTGTCATACATTTTTCTTCTATTTAATAACCCACCCGATGCATTATTGGCTTTGTTTTTTTCTTATTTGGCTTTTTTGCTTTGGACAAGTAACTTTTAAAGAGATTTCTAATAACAGGAAAACATGGTCACCATGGCATGTGTTTTTCATTGCTTTGTGTTTTGCATCCAGGTTCCCAGTAAATGCTAGCTATTCTCATATTTCTATTCTCTTGAGCTTGTCTCTTGATGCAGCTAATCTGTTTGACAGAGTTTGAACCGTCTGAGGCTTGCTTTTACACTTTATAAGTCAGGAACAGAATAGCGTTTGGTTCAGGCTAATTTTATCCCACTATTGGGTCAGTACCCTTTAAGTACTGTTTCTGGTACCCTGTCAGTCACCAGCTTTTCCACCCTGGCTACTGGGAAAAGCAACCCGTTTGCAGCGAGTCCTGAGTGAATCCTCTGCCCCCATGGGTGGTTCTCTCTCAGCCTCTTGTTTCCTCACACATGCACTGGGCAGGAGACACCCTGGTCAGATCTCTCAAGCTCTGGATTCTCTCTGCCTTGATCTCAGAACCTCAGCTATGTCTCCTCAGCTCAGGATTACTGTCTGCCTCAGTTACTTCTCCTTGCCTGTGGCCTGGCAACTCCAAGCAGTGAGCAGGGACAGTCATATAGCTCACTAGGACAGTGTGACGTCCAGTGTCTGAAAACCATTGTTGCCTACATTTCATCCGATCTTTTAGTTGTTTGAAGCATGAAGGCAATGCTTGGGTTTCTGTCTTGGCCGGAAGTGAAGTCCCCTCCCTGTGAGAACGTGCTTGACAGTCCTCATCTGTTCAGAGCTGTTCCCAGCCTGAGCCAGCACAGGCAGGCGCACTTCTCAGTGGGCAGCCCTTCACCTAGCCTTGGCTTCAGTGGAAGTGGAGAAAATGACCCAAATGGGAGGACTTTTCATTATGAGCCGTGAGTGAGGTTAACAGTCTTTTAATTTCGCCTGTTGGTTCCTGCACTGTGATGACTGATCTTGTATCAAAAGCAAATGTGTTTTGATAGGTCAGCAGTAATTAGGACCAAGTCAATAACAAATTATGAAAAACTAGCAATTTGTGGAAAAGGAACAAACAGTGAAAATGATTCTGCTTATCACTTACTTTCTAAGAATTTTAGTAAGTTGTGTGGTTATTTGTGTGCAAGATTTAAGCATGTCCTTTTCACGAAGGTTGTTGGGGCCAAGGTGGTAACCAACGCCCGCAGTCCTGGGGCTCGGTGCTACGGATTTGTCACCATGTCCACATCTGACGAGGCTACCAAGTGCATCAGCCATCTGCACAGAACGGAGCTGCATGGAAGAATGATCTCCGTAGAGAAGGTGAGCCACTGTTGCCTGTTGTGGCTCCAAATGAAATGTACGAGGGAGGAGACCTGGTCCACCAATCATTTCTATCTATCATATTTTAGGCCAAAAATGAGCCTGCTGGGAAAAAGCTATCCGACAGAAAAGAGTGCGAAGTAAAAAAGGAAAAATTATCCAGCGTTGACAGACATCATTCTGTGGAGATCAAAATTGAAAAGTAAAGTGATTTTCCAATCCTTTCTCTTGGGATTCCAGGGAGGGGAGCTTGGGCCACCACAGCAAGCTCGTGAAGCACGTGTCAGTCTTTTCCTTTACAGAAACAGCTCAGCAGCTTCTCATTTCAGTCTCAGCTGATTTTGCATCTTGCTGTCACTTCAGTATTCAGCTTTCTATTTAAAGATACTTAATGAAGTTACCTATAACTTTAAAAAAATGGATACAGATGATATTTAGTAAGTATTTATGTATGAATAATTTAGTGGCCTTTTGAAAAGAGTTGTACGTGTAAAATGAAAGAATACTATTTTTATTTTACGTTTAATATTGTGGGCCCTTACATGAATTAATTCCTCATCTCTGTTGGTTTTCATGCTGTTCTTGCTTACCAATCATAGTTACTGTAAAAAAATAAAAACCCAGGTTCTCAAAGATAAGACATCATCCTAAGGAGGGTAGCCTGATCTAACTTTGTAATGAGTGACCTTGAGGTAGTGTGACAGATGGCGAGTATTGCTGTGTTTACCTCAAAAATTAAAAATATCCCAGGTTACCCTCTGAGTTCACTATGGCACCCTGGATACCTTGGCACCATAGTTTGGGAACTATAGGTCTCAGATACTATTTTTGTAAATGAAATGATTTATATCTTTATTTAAAATGGAAACAGGGACAGATTTTTCAAAGCAGTGTGGCTTATTTATATTTTCATTGCATTTCTAGGCTTTGAAGAAGGCATTTCTAGAATTTGGCAATGTGTCTGATAATGGCAATATCTCAGAAAGCTGAGTGTCTACATTAAGTTTATATTGTCAATGTAACTTCCACATTCACTTACACTCTACAAATTGAACCCCTTGCTGAGAATCTGTCAGTTATCTGACAATTTCATTGTGCTGCTCTTATTTATTAAAAAACATTTTATAGACTAAACGTATGTGGACATCATACTCATAAGTTGAACTCGGTTTTGAAAGATGTAATTACTAGTTCTTAGCATGGTGAAGTGGTACTTACTTAGGCTCCTGAATAGTAGGTGCCAGGCAAGCCGCCATGCACTTGGGAGCAAGACTCCTAATTTTATCAGCAACATCTTCAAAGAGATATATCTCATCGGCATTGCTAAACACATCTATGTCGGCAGACTGTGGGGAAACTTTTGAGGTTCTTGGTATTCTTGGTGTCTTGGGGTGTGTTTCATCCATTTACTTTTGTGTTTGTGGGAAAAGGTAATAATAACTAGCTGACAGGTGCCGAGTGGCCCTGTGGCCATTATTGTATTAGGTTATTAAATATGGAATGTCCGATTTCCATAAGTACTAAGTTTGACAGTTGATGTCTCTGACATTTCACTTCGACACTTTTTTTTAATTGTGAAGGTACATCCTCATTCTTTCAAACACAAGTTTTGGCTTGTGATTATCTTTCAATTTTTTTTTTTTTTTGTATGAAACCATGGTTCAGTCAAAAATTTGTGTTATTTTTAATATGAGTTCCATTGTGGAACCAATGCAGTGCAGATAGCTTGAAATATCAAGGAAGTGTTTGGAGACGATGTGGCTAATAAACACACAGTTCGTCAGTGGTTTGCCAAGTTGTGTTCTGGTGATTTAAATCTTGAAAATGAGACACATGGGTGACAGACTAAGGTGGATAATGATGAGCTGAAAGCTTTAGTGGAAGCGAATCCATCTCAACCGAGGTGTGAATTAATTAGCAGCAAGGTTTGACGTTTCTATTCCAACAATATTGGACCATTTGAAACAAATGGGCAAAGTAAAGAAGCTGGATAGATGGGTTCCACGTGAATTAAATTGAGCATCAGTAGAGCAATCATCTCGAAGCTTGCCTGCCTTTGCTGTCACCACATAAAGGTGAGTCGTTTCTACACTGTATTACAGGCGTCCTCAAACTACAGCCCACGGGCCACGTGCAGGTGTTTTTGCCCTTTGTTTTTTTACTTCAAAATAATATATGTGCAGTGTGCATAGGAATTTGTTCATAGTTTTTTTTAAACTATAGTCCGGTCCTCCAACGGTCTGAGGGACAGTGAACTGGCCCCCTGTTTAAAAAGTTTGAGGACCCCTGCCGTATTGTTTTAGTAAGTGGTGAAAAATGGATTCTTTCTGACAATCAGGAGGCTTCAGCACAATGGTTGGATAAATATGAAACACAGACCAAAACCAAACACAGTGCTGAAACACAGACCAAAACTGAACATTCATCAGAAAAAGCTAATGGTGTGTGTTTGGTGGTCCAGCACTGGTATTATCCACTACAGCTTTGTGAAACCTGGTCAGTCTGACAGCGACTGTCTACTGCAGCCAGTTGGATGAAATGATGAGGATGCTTGCAATTAAGCGGCTGAGATTGGTCGATAGAGACGGGCCAATCCTCTTGTAAGACACGCTCAACCACATGTCGCATCCTCAGACGCTGCTCAGACTACAGCAGCTGGACTTGGAAACTCTGTCATCCACTGTATTCACCAGTCCTTGCACCAACTGACTACCACTTCCAGGCTTTGCACCACTTCTTGCAAGAAAAAGTACTCAATTTGCAACAAGCTGTGGAAAATGCCTTTCACAGTGTCGTCGCTACTTATTTTCGAGGCTTCTTCACTGTTGCCATAAACAAGCTACCATTACGATGACAAAACTGTGTTTGATAGTTTAGGTGCATACTTTGTTTATTTTTGTTTTTGTTAGACACAGTCTCAGTTTGTTGCCCAGGCTAGAGTGAGTGCTGTGGCGTCAGCCTAGCTCACAGCAACCTCAAACTCCTGGGCTCAAGCAATCCTCCTGCCTCAGCCTCCCGAGTGGCTGGGACTACGGGCATGCACCACCATGCCCAGCTAATGTTTTCTGTATATATTAGTTGGCCAATTAATTTCTTTCTATTTATAGTAGAGACGGGGTCTCGCTCTTGCTCAGGCTGGTTTTGAACTCCTGGCATTAAGCAATCCGCCTGCCTCGGCCTCCCAGAGCGCTAGGATTACAGGCGTGAGCCACCGTGCCCGGCCAGTTACACTGCTCATTGTTTGCGATATAATACACTAAACTTTTGAATTGAAATTGGACATTTCGTATGTAATGGCCTAATGCAACAGTTCCCCGTGAGGCATGTGCTCTATGTAGGAGAGGAAACAGGCTCAGAGAGGGGAAGTGCCCAACCCAAGCTGCCCGCAAGTGTTGGCCTAGAAGTTTCAGTATTTTGCCCATAAACCTGATAAATAATAATTCCACACACAGGTGACGAAACAGATTTAGTGTTCATTTTTTAAAGTGCTTTTAAATAGTTGGAGTGTTTCCCATATGAGCCTGCATGCATACCAGTGCATCTAATGTTTTGGAAAAACCTCCCCACCAGCCTCCAGTTTCATTAGACATATTTGTAGATTTAGCAAATAACTAAAGTGGCAATAGTGCCTATATCTAAAGAGGACAGTTACCTCCATGGCCTTCCAGTCGTCTTCCCCTTCTAATTGCCACCGGGCTGATTTGTTTTGTGTGGATGTCTGAGTATGTGCGAGTGAGGATCGGTGTGGGCCGTTCCTGTTACAGAGTCTTGGGAACTCAAGTTTGATAACCATGTTTTTAAATAGAACTGTAATTAAGAAGGAAGAAAAGATTGAGAAGGAGGAAGAAAAACGACTGGAAGACATTAAAAAGGAAGAAAAAGACCAAGATGAGCTGAAACCAGGACCTACAAATCGGTCTAGAGTCACCAAATCAGGTGAAGAGAGTCTTCTAAATGTTTGTGAATGGGGCAAATCCTGGCACAGGTAGTGGGTAGGTAGAGTGTCAGAGGAAGTGAGTTCAGTGAGCTTTCTGGTAACATGGCTGAGTTTTGCTATTTATAGGTAGCTGTTGAAATGAGATGAAATGGCTTAAAGGGGTTTTATACAGCATCAGAAATTTGGAAGTACTCTGGACGGACTAGGTGCACTGTATGGGTATCGTTGGACTTTAGTGGCCTGGGGTTTTTGCTTTTCCTGAATCTTTTGTAGATTGTAGTGGGATTCACAAGAGGGAATTGGCCTGGTTCCTTGCAACAAATCTGATGCAATTCCGCAGGTATTCAATGAGCTTTTCCTGCATTTGTGTTAAAGCTCTATGTAGTAAAATCTCCAAACATCGTTATCTGTTGAAGTGGTTGTATTTGGACAGTGTCGGACAATACCACTTCTATTGTCATTTTATAAAAGTTTATTGTGTTCTGTACCTTCGAATTTGTATGAGTCTCTCCAATGTATTGTGGCAGAAAAATAAACTAATCCCCCCTGCATTCCCCAAGGGGGGAAAAAAAACCAACCATCTGGCACATTGAAATTTCGTACAGCACATTACAAGTTAGATCTTTAAGTGCTTGGAGTAATTCACCAGTAATCTCATGAGGAACATGTTTTCAAAATGTTCCTCAAGTATTATAAATCTCCCCAAATAAGTCATTGTTCCAGTGGTTAGAGCCGGTTGTTGTGTCACCGGAGAGAGAATTGATTTGGAAGCCTTTATTGCTATAGAGAATGAAGGGAAGCCCACCGTCTGGCGAGGCACTCCCTCAGAGACGGCAGTGTCTGATTCAGAGCACGGGGACCCAGATTCTGTGGAGCTTTACAGAATGTACCGGAGGAATGGAATATAAATTGGTTCTCTCGGAGCTGCTAGCATTTAGTGTGGGGGCAGCGGAATTCCGCAGGGTGGATGTGTTTGCATGCACGTTGCAGCGTGCACTCTGACTTTGGGTTTAAGTTGTAGTATGGGAAAAAGTCTCGGCTACTTTTACTTCAGATGTGCAAAGACCCGTCAGGGTGCACCAGCCGCTTTGTACCCATGTTAATTGTGTTAGTCACAATAGAGATGAGGACCAGAGGCTCCAAAGGCTGCCGTCAGTCACTTGACTGAGGCCCTGTGTGCCCATCCCACGGTCCACCAGAGTGCCAATTGCTGCTATTGGGTTGTTGGGATGTTAGCGTGTTTTCATAGATTGCTGTGTTTTTGTCCTAAAGGAAGCAGAGGAATGGAACGGACAGTGGTGATGGATAAATCGAAAGGAGAGCCTGTCATTAGTGTGAAAACCACAAGCAGGTCAAAAGAGAGAGTAAGTATTGCTTCTGCCACCTCTTGGCCAGCTGTTTTTGATGGTGGTTTAACAACCACTTTGATTTGTATTATGAAAACAACTTTGTTTCACCTTTAAGATCTTAAGAGTTCTTTGAAGTACTCAGGGGGTATGTTAATTGTTTAGATTATATACACAGACAAAAAATTAAATTCTGAAACTTTTTGCAGAACAGTACTTACCAATGTGTGATTTCCTTAACATGCTGGCCTCTCGCTGGTTCTTATCAGGTTATTCCATCGTCTGGATGGACACTTGATTGACACACAGCACCCTACCCACCATCAGATAGGATGGGTCAGCCCCAGACTTTTCCACTGATTTCCTCTTTGGTTGATCTAATAGCAGTTTATTATCTTTTCATTGGTTTTCTAGTCTTCTGTTAAAAAGTAGAGGCCAGTGTAAAGTGGAGTATCTTTCATTTTATTAGTTAAGGAACATCATTTCTTGAATTGTACACACAGCTGGACAAACAGTGCTTCTCATTTTGCATTTTCTATTCTGGAAAACAGAAAAAAACTCTGCTTCCCAGCTGCAGGTTCTAGCTAAGACCTGAGGACACATTAATGAGGAAATATTGCTCTTTTAGTGAGTGCAAAGTTAATGGTATTCATCCATATTCATCTAAGAACACTTTGTGTTGTTAAGATGTAATTTTTTAAAACGAACATTTTTTTGATTCTATAAAGCACAAATTCCTACTGCCATTTTTCATATGGGCTACATGAAAATCATAAAATACAAAGAAATCCAGCATAGAAAACAAAGGTCCGTAATCTTACTACCCAAACACCTCTGAGCACTAGAAATCATAGCGGAATTGCACGTGTGATCAGAGCATTGAGTCAGCACAGAGAGATGCAAGCAAGATGGCGCCCTGCCTCTGCATGCCCCTCAGCTTCCTCTCAAAGGACATTGCACACATGTCACACATGGGCACACTGTAGGACCACCAGTGAAGGCTCATGCTGGAACTTGCTGATGTGTACCTTGCTCTTTGTGTGTAATATGCCTTGGAGTTCTTTACATACAAAGACATACAGTTCAGCCTTTTTCCTTTCTTTTTTAAAAATTTTTTATTTTGAAATAATTAAAGTGCTGTTCAGAAAAGTTATGGGCAGACTTACAATTTATTGGGTGTGTATCAGGTACCAGGTCACTAGTAAGAGGCTAAGCTGGGCTTTGATCCGGGAGTCCCTTTCAGGTACCCTTCCCTGCTAGGCTACGTTCCATGCAGTGGTACTGACGGTGTCTGTCCCCTCGTCACTACAGGTGAAACCCTCTGCTTGTCCCATAGGCGAAGAGTGTTGGGGTGAGGTTTGGGGTGGTGTGTCCTTCCTTGTAACAAGGTCGCCCTTTCTGTGTCTCTGCTCCCCTGCTCCTCACCCCACCCCCTTTTGCAAACTGGTATAACATCTGATCTCAACCTCTGCTGTTCGTTTTATCGGGTTGCTTTGCCTTTTATTGTTCTTATTTTTCCCCCTGTGGGAGCTAATTAAGAAAATAAGCCTGAGGAGCTCTTTGAAAATATCACCTCCCAAGTTCTTGCCCTGGAGATTCTGAGTCAGGGCCAGTAGGAGGCCCTGGGTTCTGTGTAGTTTAACAGCTTCGTGGGAGTGTGTGGCCAGTTTGGGTGACACCTTGGAGAGCCTCAGAAATGGGAGTTGACCTTACAATTCTGAGTCTCATCCCAGAAATGGAATATCATGGAAGTTGGCCGTAGTGTTTTATGCCTTATCAGGAGCGCCGCTTCACACTGGAGCGTTTCAGCTTGTTCTATTTTAGGGCTGTCTGCCTGTGGCTCGGGCCAGCAGTTGAGAAGTGAAACGTGCAGTCAGTCCTCCAGCTGTCCAAACAGCTGGCTCGACTGCTGTCCCCACTGAACCAAGGGGCTGTCGTGGCTTTGTGCAGATGTGTCCCGTGGCTCTGAGAGGCCTAGTTTTGTTTTAGATTATATGAGCCATTGGCTCTGCTACAGTAGAAAAACCAGACCTGTGGGTTTTCTGAGGTTTGGACCAACCTTTTCTTTTCCATTAATGCCCTCTGAAATTTGAAAGGAAGATTCTGGATTAAGCTGCAAAACTCCTACCTGGGGGGAAACAGCCTCTGTGCTTGGGCCTCTGGTTTGGAAACCACACCTTCCATATAAACCACGAAGGACAGAAGAATACTGGGCTAATCTACATATGCAAACTTAACTTCCACTGTATATTTGCTGCAATCATTTTTTTATGTTAATAAACCAATTTTGATAAACAGAGCTCCAAGAGTCAGGACCGAAAGTCGGAAAGCAAAGAGAAGAGAGACATCTTGTCATTTGATAAAATCAAAGAACAGCGGGAGCGGGAGCGCCAGAGGCAGCGCGAGCGGGAGATCCGAGAGACCGAGCGCCGGCGGTGAGCGGGACTGGCGGGTTGTGGGCTGGTGGCTTACTGGTGAGGGGGGCCGTCTGCCTCCCAGCTCTCCTGGAGTCTGCGCAGCCTGAGAGCTGGCGCTTGGACTGCCTGGTCTCCTTGTGTGCTTCGCCTGAGTCCTAGAGGCAAGGCTCAGCACCTGTTCACACCTGCCCATGCGATGTGGCTGGTGGCACAGAAGTCACCAAAGGCCATTTTTGCGCAGCAGCCTTTTCCTCTGGCCGAAGCTGGAGCTTGGCCGTGGGGAAAGCTCACACACACGTGTGGCTTGGATGGAATGGGCCCCTGGTGTCGAGACCTGGGTCTTCCCCACCGAAACCTGCATAAGTAAGGCCAAAAGCTGCAACTGGAGTTCAGTTGTCATTTTATTGCGGCACCAGAACGGGGCAGTTTTGTCACAGGTGTTAGTCATAGGAATGCTTCCTTGAAGTGTCTGCATAGAGCAGCATCTGTCTGTCCCAGCTGCGGTAGCCATCCGCGCTGTCGCCCTCCGCTGCGGGGCAGTTTATTGATGCGCAGTTTTGAAGGAGGCTTTTCCCCCACCACTTTAACGTCCTGGCGTTTCATGTCGGCTTGTCCGGACTTCCCTTGTTGCTTTTCCTCAAATGTTGTTCAGTAAAACAAAAGCTTTATGTCTTGGTATTTGGGGACTTTTCCTGAGCTCAGATGGGTGACATGGAAACTTTCCCAGTTACGCTACATTTGCTTTTCTAAACTAACGTAATTGCATCCTTTCTGCGGATATAGCTTTAGCACCGAAAAGCCCCAGAGCAGCTTTCATCCTTGCAAGCTGCTGCTGCTCTGTTCCGAGCCTCTCCAGGCACCGTCAGAGGGTGAGGGTGCGACCGGGGCTCCGAGCGCCTGGTCGGCTCCCAGGGTGTGGGAAAGCGAGACCTCTTGCCTGGTGCCTGTCCCCACACCTTCCCAGGCTCTGTTCAAAGGGCACTGTCATTGAAAAATACCGCCTTTTTTGAGGGAAGGTGTGAAAATAAGACATGCTCTCAATACACATTAGCCCGTAATGAGAACCATTTTTCACCTCCCCGGGCGGCTGCAGTGGTCGTTTCTCCAGGGTTTTCCTGTGCAGGGCACCTTTGTGGTAGCAATTATCAAGCACCTGCCATACGTCTTTCCCTTTAAAGTCAGTTTCCAAAACTCGTAGATGACGTTAAACAAGTCCTGCCACCTGCCTGGTCTTGGGCCTTTTGAGCCGATTCTATCTCCCGCCTCTGCCCGGCCGCCAGAGCCTGTCTTGTTGGGAAAAGGCGGAGTTAGGTGCCCCCGGGCAGCTCGGTGAGAGCCTTCCCCGGGTGTCCCGTCCCGGTGGCGGGCAGGAAGTTCAGCGTGGCCTCCCGGTGTCGCCGCAGGGAGCGGGAGCAGCGGGAGCGGGAGCAGCGCCTCGAGGCCTTCCACGAGCGAAAGGAGAAGGCGCGCCTGCAGCGCGAGCGCATGCAGCTGGAGTGCCAGCGGCAGCGGCTGGAGCGCGAGCGCATGGAGCGGGAGCGGCTGGAGCGCGAGCGCATGCGCGTGGAGCGCGAGCGCAGGAAGGAGCAGGAGCGCATCCACCGCGAGCGTGAGGAGCTGCGGCGGCAGCAGGAGCAGCTGCGCTACGAGCAGGAGCGGAGGCCCGTGGTGCGGCGGCCCTACGACCTGGACCGGTGAGAGCCAGAGGCCTGCGTGGAGGCGGCAGCGTCCCTGCCTGGCCCCTCTGCAGAACTCACTGCCACTGCCGCAAGGTTATGTAGTTCACTGTCACCTTCCAGTGGCTGTGCAACCCTTTTTTTCTTTTTGTCCCAGTTGAGTTATTTTTGAGAGAATCTTGTTGGTTGCCACTTGCTGAAGGGCGTGTGATGTTTTTGCTCTTAGGTTCCCCATGGAGCATAACTGTTCTCTTTTTGTGTTATGAGACAGCCAGACAGCCATTAGGCCCAAGTTGGCCATGCAGTCTCTGATGGTCTAGCGTGTTCTTGTAGACAGAGGCAGAGCAGGCGCTGTGGAAAAGGAAATTGCCTTCTGGTTTGGAAAGTAGGTTTATTGGTCTCTAGCTTCTCTGACCGTCTTAATTGACAGTCACCTGTCACCCCACTCCCCGTGAGCCTAGTTCTCTGGTAAAAATCAGGAAGAAGATAATTGGATGCCATCCTGAGCTGTATGTAGTTCACTATCATCCGATCCAATTCCCTTTGCTTCTGCAAAAAACTCAGAGGGAGGTTCAAGTTCTCATAGACGGCGGGGAAGGTAAAAATGTGGCAACTTGAATTCCATTCTAGAAAAATCAAATATTTCATTTCACTTGAATTTGAGCTCACGCAGGGATCAAGGTATTAACAGCCTTGCGAGACAATTAGCTCACAGCAGTGCTTTCTTCAGGATTGTCAGACGAGAACACCAGCGTGCCTCTTGGCAGTTTGGGGGATTTTAATTTATCAAATCAAAGTGATAATGATTGAATGTTTAGAGATTAGCCCTGCAGGACATTTTAATGATGCTGGGTCTAGGGAGAGAGCTCCCTCCCCATCTCCATCCCTTTGGTTTTTCCTCTTTCTCTGTCATAAATGAAATTTGCATTCTTTTTAAAATAAAAAACAACAGGCGAGATGATGCCTATTGGCCGGAAAGAAAACGCATGGTGATGGAGGACAGATACCGCGCCGACTTCTCCCGGCCGGATCACCGCTTCCACGACTTCCACCATCGTGATCGGGGCCAGTACCAGGACCATGCCATCGACAGGTTAGCCGCCTGTCCCTCCTGTAGCCACAGAGGTGGCAGGCACTGGGACATCGAGCTGTTCAAGTTCGCATCCTGATACAAGAATAGGTCTTCATCCTTTCTCTGAAGTCTCACTGACTTCTGGATCACAGTGGGTGACTTTGACCCACAGAACTTGATCAAGCAAGTTGTCGTTGTAACTAGTGGTCACTTCAGACATCCTCAGCTTGCCGAGCAGGAAGGCACCTGGAACCTCCTTTCGCCTGCTGGCGTCTTTTCATGGGTAGGCCAGGTGTGACCCCCAGGTACCCCGCACTGAGCTCTCTTGTGGGCTGGTGGGGTTTTCCAGCATGGCCCAGCTCTGGGTTTCACAGTTTCCCAGGGGGCTTTCCACAGGTGCTCCCCCTCTTTCCCTCCGCACCTCCCACAGAACCAGGAAGGGCTTAGAAGAGGGCCTGGCCTAGCCTCCTTGTATATAGCAGAGGAAGCAGGTTAGGGAAGAGGCGTGACCTACCTAGGCCAGCTGGGGCTCCGGGGCTCGTACCTGGGCTTCGTCGACCAGCAGAGCTCCTGTGCCAGTAAACTGCAGAGAGAACTGACTGGAGGATGCGCAGGGTTTCTCATTTGCCTTTGCTTTTGGGGGCTAGGTGAGTTTTTAGCCAGTGTCTGCCTGCCCTTTTTTTTTTCCTTCCAGTGCCTTTTAAAATTGGGAATATATCTAGATCATTAAAAAGGCAGTTTTCCAGTTGAAGAGTCTTGTCTGTGGGTTTCCCACTGTGTCCCCCGGGCTGCATACTCTTGAGCCGCTTACCGCTCGTTAGCTCCTCCTTCAGGGGTGCCAGAGTGGGAGGATGGCAGGGCAGGCTGAAAAGCCACTGGCATGATTGCGGCTGGCATTGGTGTGAGATTTGGTGAGTCACCTGTGTGGGAGACAGAGGTTAGGGATCACAGAGGCTTCCCTTTGTCCGTTGCCCTGACTTTGGTCACTGGGCTGCACGTAAATTAGATGTTAACTTCCTGGTGCGGGTCTTTGTTTTGGAGACCTCTCTGAGGAATTTTAGTTCAATAACATCTTTATTCCCTCCTCCATGGGATCCCACTTCGTTCCTGGCCACAGCTAGCTCTTCTTATTTCCCCCAGGCCAGTGAGTTTTAGTTCTTATGTGTGGGATAGAGTAAGTGTCAGCTGTGAAGCTCTTGTATGGCCTGCGGAAATGTATGCTGCCACCAGCTGTCGTTTGAATGAGACACTTTCCTTTTGCAGGAGGGAAGGTTCAAGGCCAATGGTGGACGAGAGAGACGGGCAGGTGAGTACAGCCCAGATGCCCAGCCTGGGGCCAGCCCTCTGTAGTTGGCCTGCAGCTGGCTTCTGTGCCAGAGAGGGGACAGCTCAGTCACATTGTGGGTGGAAGTGTCTGTTGTCAGCGATTAGAAGTGCAAATTTCTGATTATTTTCTAATTAGTGATTCTGTGTAGTTTTCACATATGTGGGGCTTGTTCTTGCTTAATTTTATCTAGGAGAAACTGCAAGCATCTCTTGATTGTCCACTTGCTTAGGGAGCCTTTGAGTCCTGGCACTATGGGGTACCCCAGATTACCCAAGTGGTGGTATAGGTAGTCATCGTTTAGCCCACATTTGCCGAGGCCTGGGGCATTGTCCCTCGGTTTCAGGTACTGTGCTGGGGACTGGGAGCTGAAGACCACGAGGTGGTCCCCGCGTGTCTGTGGTGATGCGGTGGTGCCTATGCCAGGTGAGCAGGGCGTGAGCTCAGACAGGAGCAGCACTCTTGAGAGGCGGGAGACAGGCGTCAGAATATTGGCTTTTAGTGCACGTGTGGTACCTCATGCCTGTAATCCTAGCACTTTGAAAAGCCTATGTGGGAGGATCACTTGAAGCCAAGAGTTTAAGACGAGCCTGGGCAACATAGCGAGACCCCATCTCAAAAAGAAAATGAGCCAGGTGTGGTGGTGCATGCCTGTAGTCCCAGCTCCTTGGGAGGCTGAGGCAGGAGTTTGAGCTGCAGCGAGCTATGGTCACACCACTGCACTCTAGCCTGGGCAACAGAGCAAGACCCTGTCTCTTCAGGAATTAAAAAAAAAAAAGAATAGTGGCTTTTAACGACAGAGCTGTGAGAGAACTTGAGACCATTCTTACTCCTGCGGTCTGCTGGGTCCTGGGTGTGGGATTGGTTGCCAAGGGATACTGGAAGGCTGGTGTCAGAGGGGCCTGGCCCACCCCAGGGACACCAGAAAGGAGGCATCCCGACTCCTCAGGCAGGACAGGGCTAAGTGGCTCTTCCCATTGAACCGTCAGCTGTGCCCATGGGAGCCATAAAGCACAGGGCGCTCGGAGCGCACGGGGCAGGAGGGGTGCTGCGGCACCGGCTTGCGTGAGTCAGTGTTGCAGCTGGGGCGTGGGAGAAGGAGGTCCAGAGGCAGGGCCCTCTGGGAGCAGAGGGTCAGCAGAGCAGGGCTCAGCTGGGGCCAGGTTGGCCCCTCAGCCACCCCCACTGCTGCCTGGGCCTGTGGAGAACAGGCCTTCTGGAACTGGCTTCCGTCTACAAGTGACATGGTCAGAGTGTCACTCTGTACTCATGTGCCCTCTAGCACTACTCAGATGACCGCCATGGCCACGGAGGACCCCCAGAGCGACATGGCCGGGACTCCCGTGATGGCTGGGGGGGCTATGGCTCCGACAAGAGGCTGAGCGACGGCCGGGGGCTGCCTCCTCCACCCAGGTTAGTGCATGGGGCCGTCGGGCCTCGCCTGGTCAGAGGTCGGTGCCTGGTTGTGCGGTTCAAGGAGCCTTAGCACAGGCCACTCGGGTCCTGCCATTTGAAACCCACTACCCGGGAAGGCCAGGTTCTCACAAGGAAAGACAGCGGGCTCTTGGGGATGGGCCACACCGGGGGGCCTGGGTGGAGGCACTTAGGGTGGGGTCGCCCTGCAGATGTGAGCGTCTCAATCACTGGGGGACTCACCTGCTAGAGGGGACAGTTGTGAAGCTCTCAGTCTCCCATGGTGAGTGGTAGAGAAGCTTTGCCACTGCCGCCACCACGTCCTCTCTTTAGACGTCTCCTCGGGTCCTTTTTCTCTGACCTCTGCTTGGTCTGTGCTGGGGCTTCTCAACCCTGGCCCTCCGTTAGAGTGAATCACTTGAGGGGACCCTCACCCTGGAGCAGCTGGGTCTTTGTGGGCAGAACTTGGATGGCAGGTTTGTTAGGCCCCTCTACCCCCAGGAGTCGAACATGCTGTCAGTGTTGAGGACACCACACCAGGTCCTCCCCAGGGTGTCCAAGGCCACCTTCTTGTCAACACTGTGGCCAGTGGGCAGCCCCAAGCCTCATCAGCTTTTGGGTTGACCCAAGCTTGTCAGGAGGGCTCCGAGTGCCTCTTTGTGGTTTCTTTGGTCAGCTGTGGTGGCCCTGCACAACTGTGCTCCCTTCCCGGCCAGCCCGTCTCCTCGCCACTGTCTGGGCTGCTGCGTGGTGGCTGGGGACAGAACCATCTCCTGGCTGCTGCTCCTGCCATGCCCGCTCCTTTCCTCTGTGTGGCTGGTGTCCTGTGTGTCTCCAAGCACGACCTCTATGCTGATGGGACAAGGCTCTCTGCACATCACCCCTTCAGGGGCTGCTTCTGTGTGGCCCCTGCTCAGCGCAGTGGGGCAGCATTTGGCTTCCCTGGTGCTGTCCCTCCCTCCAGCTTATAGGCACTTCCCCTTCGCTGGGGTCTTTGACAGGAGCCTTTCTGGGGACTCCGAGACACCAGGAGTTTCTATCATATGTGTGACACAGACGGTGGCCACAGGCTAATCAATTACTGTAAAGCGTTCTCTTCCAAGCGACCTACTTAACACCGGGCCTCTAACACCGTGGAGTCCATTTTGCTGTGAATACTGTGGGGAGCGGGAGCGGGAGAGCTCCCCTCGGAACGAGCTTGTGGAGAGCCGTGGCCCTGTGCTGTCGGGCAGCGCTCCACGCCGGCGGCCCATTGGTGCCAGGACTTTGGAACCTGCTTTGGATTTTAATCTCCCAGAGTTTCTGTCTGAAACTTTTTTTAAATAGCTCCTGTTAAAGTGTAATTCACATGCCATCACAATTTACCCATTTGGAGTGTGAGTCTGTGGCTTTGAGTATATACATAGAGGTAAGCGTCCATCACCACAGTCAATTTTGGAACATTTTCACCCACAAAAAGAAACCCTGCACCTCTTAGCAGCCATCCCTCCGTCCCCAGCTCCTGGCAACCACAAATCCACTTTCTGTCTCTGGATTTGCCTGTTATGGACGTTCCTATAAATGGAATCGCACCATGTGGCCTGTTGTATCTGGCCACTTTTCACTTTCCAGGGTTTTTCTTGTTGCCCCTGGTGTCTAGAACTTCGTTCTTTCCAGTCTGATACCCACCACATGGCCGAACCGTGTTCTGTGTATTCATTCATCAGAGGACGTGTGGGTCCTTTCCACCTTTTAGCTGTTAGGAACCACGATGCTGGGAACGGTGTGCAGGTTTCTTTGGCCATGCTTTCATTCTCTCGGGTAGACAGCTCGGAGCGGGACTGCGGGGGTCGGGTGGTTGGTAATTCTCCGCTTGCCTTTTTGAGGAACCGCCACGCGGGTTTCCGCAGCCACTGCGCCGCTGCACATTCCCACTGGCAGCGCGAGGCTCCGATTTCTCCACATCCTCGCCAGCGCTTGTCATCGTCTGTCTTTTTGATTCTGGTGTCCTAGCAGCAGTGAAGTGGCATCTCGTGGTTTTGATTGGCACTTCCTTGGTGGCACCTTTTCTGTGCTTCCTGGCTGTGAGATATCTTTGGGATTGTATTTAATGTGTCTTTGAGGAAACATCACTTGGACCATCTGCCCGCTTCTCTGACGCCTCGAGGCAGGGCATGCAGCCACACAGCCCGACTCGGGGGCACATCCGGACGGCGTGTCTGCTTTTTCTTTTGGCTCAGGGGTGGCCGGGACTGGGGAGAGCACAGCCAGAGGCTGGAAGAGCATCCAGCACGCGCCTGGCAGGGCACCATGGACGCAGGCATGGCAGGCCGGGAGCACACAAGGTGGCAAGGTATGGGGCTGGCTCCTGACCCTTGACCCCAGGGAATGAGGGTGGCCGTGGTCCCAGGACTCTGCAGACAGGGCCCACGTCCCCCCAACGTTTCCAGAGGCTTCCCTGAGGAGGGGTGTTTGCAGACTCTCTTCTCTTGCAGGTGGTGAGAGAGGGCTGTCGGGGCCCTCGGGACCAGGGCACGTGGCCGGCCGGGGCGACGTGGCGGGGTAAGGAGTGTTGTCCGCGGATGGCGTTGGTTTCCTCCTGCTCTCACTTGCTCCCCTTCTTTGCATGTTTGATAGACTTGCTGGGTTGGATGTTTTGAAAACAAACCAAAAAGCAGCTCTTTGCATTATGTAGATACACTCTTCAGTTGCACGGAATACATTGTATGGTTATGATTTTTCTCACCCGGAAAAAAAACCAAGCGCGCTCTAAAGGCCGCAGAGCCTGTGCGGAGCCGTGTTTCGGTGGAGACGCACAGCACTCAAGGGGACACGCCTGGCTTTGTTCCTAGGCGAGGCGGCTTTGCACAAGGTGGACATTCCCAAGGCGATGTGGTGCCGGGTGGCGGACTGGAAGATGGCGGAGTGGCCAGCCAGGACCGGGACAGCAGAGTCCCGCACCCCCACCCCCATCCCCACCCCCACCCGTACCCCCACTTCACCCGCCGCTACTAGGCCCGCTCCCTGCGAGTTTTCAGGTAGGCAGACGCACTGTCGAATCTCTTAGCCAGAGTTCTCTTGAACTTGTGGAATCTTTTAAAACACAAGCAAATTCTGCCACCGTGTTGTAGCGCGACACAATGTGAACTCACTTTTTTTTTTAAATAAATGGTGTTCTTGTTCTGCCATTTTTAAGACAAGGTTTCTGTTAACGAGGCATTCCATTTTCCATTAATAAAGTTTACGATTCGCATCCTTGTGTGTGCGTGTGAGTATCAAGGTGGCTGTGGGGCACAGGACAGGACCGACCTTTGGTGCCGTGGTGTGTCACCTGGCGGCTGCTGGCATCTTCACCCACATCAGCCTGCGCTGAGTTCTCATGACAACACCATGATGGGGGCCATAATCCCTGTCTTACAGATGAGGAAACTGAGGCTCAGGAATCGGATCGTTGTCCGGGGTTGTGGCGCTGGTATGGGGCACAGGTGAGGTGTCGGGCTGGGATCCTTCTCGGTGGGGGCTGCGTGTTGTGGGCCCTGCGGATCAGTCCCTGCACCTCCGTGCCTGTCTATTCCTCTGCAGGATGGGTGGGTGGAGTGTCAGGTAGTGACTGGCACCAGGTGAACCCTCCCACGGCCACCATAGTACTTGGAGAGCGTGTGTGGTGACCCACTATCCCCTGGCTCCTGACTGTTGTGCTCCGCACCTTCCCCGGGCAGCCGGGCAGGACGGGGGCGGCCTGGCCTGGCCCTGGCCCTGTGGTGCCAGATCCATCCGTTTTCCTGGAAATGCAGATTTGTCTGTGACATGCCATTTGTGAATGTGATTGCAGTGTTTCACCTAAGGACCGCCAGACCCGGTACCGCACTGGCTGTACCGCCTGCCCGCGTCGTGGGCCCCTCTCTTCCAGGGCCCCTTAGTGGGCTGGCCACGGCCACTGGAGGCCCAGCTCTCCTCCAGAACCAGTGCTGGCAGGGCGGGCGGCTGCAGGTGGGGGCAGAGACAAGGCCAGGCCACCTCCTTGGGCAGATGGGGTTGGCCTGGTGCCCTCTGGCTGCTGGCGGGCCAGCGCCAGCGGAGCCTGTGGGACAGCGAGAGTTAACCTCGGCGCCGCCTGCTGGGAGCCTGTCAGTATCTAGGGCAGCCGCCCCACAGTCCCTCCGACATTTGCCAGTTCTTCTGAAGTCCCCCGTGTTCCTGCTGCGGTGTTTAGTTTTAAAAGAGCAATCTGAAAATTGTGCCCAGCGTGCCGCGGAAACCAGAGCGTTGCAGGCAGGTCGGCTCCGGCCCCCGGCGTCCTGAGCGAATAGGTTTCTAAGGAGCTTCCCCCACTGCTGTGGCTTTTAGAGTCATTTCGGAACAACAGGTTGACAGGATGCCGTCTCCATGCTGCACATGGGGGCCTGTGTGGCACGCAGCCTCCTGCACGGAGTCCCAGTCTGTCCCCTCCCCCAAGCCCGAATCTAGAAATCGGGTCAGGGACGTCCCTGTTGGGCAACAAAGGCCAGGCGAGGCCTGTGTTGAGAGGAGGCAGCCTGGGGTTATGTGACCTGTTTTCCGAGTTGGTGGCAGCCTGAAGTATAAACCCAGGGCTCTCAACAGGGTGCCACCACCAGCCCGCCCCTAGGGAGCCAGTCCCACTGGTCATCCCATGGGCCAGAAAAACCCCTTTCTAATTAGCTGGGCCTAGAACCGGCCTATTTTACATAGAAATGCAAAATACTGGTATTACTTTGCAAGGACTGCTGTCACAGAGTGCCACAGACTGGCTGCAGAAGCTCTTTGGGTCACAGTTCTAGAGGCTAGAAGTCCGAGATCAAGGTGTGGGCAGGGCCGGTTCCTCCTGAGGCCATGAGGGAGGGTCTGTCCCAGGCCTCCCCCGGCTTCCGGTGGCGGCCACACCCTTGGCATCCTGGCTTGTGGAAGTCTCACCAGACCCCTGCCTCCATCTTCACGTGGCCGCCTCCCTGCGTCCCTGCTTGGATCCAGAGTTCCCTTTTGTATTAAGACGCCAGGCGTAGCTAACTTAGGGGCCCGCCTCACTCCAGTGTGACCTCACGTTAACTGATTCCGTTAACTGATTCCGTGTGCAGTAACCCTATTTCCAAGTGCAGTCGCCTTCTGAGGCTCTGGGGGCCGAGGATGGGAATGGGAACTTGGTGAGGGCAGCTCCACCCATCACAGGACACTTTGGTTTTGATGCATATGGATTTTTCCAGGAATGCAGCTTCTGGGTCAGTTGAGGGAAAATTGTTCATAACCTTATCAAGAGTTATTCACCATTTCTGGGAACACAGGTGCTTGGGGTGCTGTCTGCATAGACATGTGAATCTGAGCACTTGCCCATGCTTCGTGCTGTGCTCTTGTGTGACCGGGGCTTGTGCCCAGTTTCTTAATAGGATAAACGCAGGCACTGTTTTTCAGATGTTATTTTCCTTTTACATCTTCTGTTTGTATCCAGTAGAGTATCATATTAGTTTGGAGTTGTTTTGTTTTTTGAGATAGAGTCTGTCACCCAAGCTGGAATGCAATAGCATCATGGCTCACAGCAACCTCTAACTCCTGGCCTCAAGTGATCCTCCCACCTCAGCCTCCCGAGTAGCTGGGACGACAGGTGTGAGCTACCACACCTGGCTAATTGTTCTGTTTTCTGTAGAGACAGGGGTCCCGCTATGTTGCCCAGTCTGGTCTCGAGCTCCTGGACTCAAGCGATCCTCCCGAAGTGGTGGGATTACAGGCATGAGCCATTGCACCTGGCCCTGGAGTTATTTTTTTGAGTGTAAGTTGGTTATATATCAGCTCTGATTTTTAATTCAAGAGAGAAAAGGGGGGGGTGAACAACACATTTGTTACGGAAGGGGGTTGCTGATGGACATTTGGGGGGGGTTCTATGTTTGCACAAACCCTGTGTGGCCCGACTCACAGGAGGTCCCTAGAGGTGTCAGATCCACAGAGACTGGAAGTAGCATGGTGGGTACGAGGGGGCGGGGGGAGTGAGTGTTTCATGGGGACAGAGCTTCAGTTTGGGAAGACGAGAACGTTCTGGAGGTGGAGGGTGCTGATGCACAGCACTGTGCATGCGCTTCATGCCACTGAATTTTATGGACTTAAAAATGGTTAAAATGGTAAATTTTATCTCACGTGTATTTTACATTTTACCACCATTCGTAAGAAATCTTTGGGGGGGGGGGCGCTGTCGGTCATCACCTCGCGGGAAGGAGAGTCCCTGGGGTAGCAGCTGAGCCAGCCTTCCCTCTGGTCGTGTGCCCGCAGGCGGTTAATAACTACTCTCTGCTTTGGCTGCCTTAACCGGAAGAGAGTAACAGTGCGCACCATATGGGATCTTTACAGAGATGAGTTAATCCACGCAGAAAGCTTAGAACTGTGCCTGCCATACAGCGAGGGCTTAATAAATGTTGACAGGCCCCGAGGAGCCCTCCAGGAACAGGGCCTCGGGTGCTCCACGTTCTGGGGGCCCTGCCAAAGGCGTTGAGACTGGAGGGCGGGGGGCTGGGGGAAGGAAAGGACTGGCTGCAACAATACAGAAAGGAAACTGCAAAAATCAGAATGAAGACATTATTAAATGTCTCCGCATCTGCAAAAATGTGTCAACTTCACCAGTTGCCAAATTTTGTATTCATAAAGATTTCATTACATTTCAAAACAGCTCCTAGGTTAAATTTGCTCACTCGAGAAGAACTCCCAAGCCCGCGCGATGATTGCCAGCCTTAAATTGCACGCCGCCTTCCTAGTCAAATACTTTCAAAGGCAGAGTCGCAACCGGGCCTTTTGAGTAACCGAAAACGACAGCGGCGAAGCAGCGGTGAGGAGTGGGCTTTCTGGGGACCAGGGGAGAGGGAAGACGCAGCTACCTGGGTCGGAGGGCGCTGGAGACTCGGTTAGCCCTGGGCTGTCACCAGCTGCGTGGGTTCCAATCTCAGCTCTTTATCCGCTTCTTTTGTCCGCTGTGAGCACTTGAGGAAGTGACTTGGGGCAAGTTTTCTCATTTCTCAGACGGAGGCCATACCCCCATCCCAGGCCTGTGGGAAGATTTCAGGGGTGACTATATGGAGCCTAGCTTTGTGAGCAGGAAGGCTTGTTGGCTCCGTGGGGTGCCGTTTGCCCATAGGAGCCCCGTTTTGCCCCGCCCTGTCCCAAGAGCGCTGTCCTCTCCTGAAAACTCGGGGGTTGCACGCGGTACCTGCAGGACCACTGGGCGCGTGCGTCTCCTAGGCTTCTCGGAACAAGTTTAACGCACACTGCGTGGTTTAAAACAGCACGCCTCTGACTCGGGCCTCACCGGGCTGCCGTCAATTGGTGGCCAGGCCGGTCCCTCCTGGGGCTCCAGGGCAGAAGCGTCTCCCACCTTTCCCGGCGTACGGCCACCCACGTCCCTCGGCTCGGGGCCCTTCCTCCACCCAGAGCCAGCGGCGCAGCAACTTTCTGACCCCGTCCCCAAGTCATCTCCCTGTGAGTGCGGTTTGGAAAAGTCCTCCAGTTTGGGGGATCCCTGCGATCAGCTTGGACCCACCTGGATAATCCAGGCGTCTCTCCCCTGCTCGAGTCCTCAACCTTAATCACATCCGCAAGGTCCCTTTGCCATGGGACCTAACCTCCTCGAAGGTCCCAGGGATTAGGACGTGGCCGTCTTTAGGAGGGGGCCACTATTTGCTTGTCACACTGGGGTGCGACACAATCCGCTGTGGGACGTGCCAGATGTGAGGGCACGGAAGTGGGCCGTCTCTAGTCCCGGTGGCCAGCAGTGGGTGTATACGAGGACACACCAATGCCCCACCACACCCCAAACCCTGACGTACCCACTCGCCGCTTCTCTGGAAACCGGAGCCTGTGACAGAAAAGTCAAGCGCAGTTCGGGGCCCAAGAGACTCTGGGACTCGCCCACAGAGCCGGGCCCCGATCCCAGGGTCCCTGCCCTCCACCAGCACAGGACACGGGGCCACACACCGAGGTCGCGTGGTGCTAAAACACTGGGTGTTTGGGGCCCCGAGGAGCAAGCCTTGTCCGTTACCGTGTAGATTACTTTGCACGCGCACTTAACCTTCAGCGGCGACCCTAAGGATGACACTGCACGTCCCTCGGTGCTGTCAGGGACGGACCAAGACTGGGCTGGCAGCTGCGCCCACGTCGACGCCCGGAATGCCAATGCCCAAGTCTCCGAGCTCCCTCAAATCCACACGAGTCGCAGCCCAGCTGCGCGGCTCGCCTCCAGCTGCAAATGCTGACACGACAGCTGC